CATTATGTATACCATGCATGTTTAGTCGTTTAGCAGTTTTAATACCATTTTGAAATTTGTGGAATTATTAATGCCTGAAATAAATGGAAAAACACTATATATGTAGTTTCTATGCGTACCATTAATATAATGTGTCAGGCAATATATAGTGGTTTATAGTGTTCATGTGTTCTCTTTCATAATGTGTATAAGGATTTCATGAATCATTAACGGGTTTCGCCACTGCGAGCATCACGAACAGTACAGGTCCGCAGCCTCGGTCCTCAAGTCTCAACCACCCCCTCCGACTAATCGCCCCCGAGCGTGTTACCTAGGCGCCCCGAATGCAATTTGACCATTTCACCCTCAAGGTTCAAGCTTGGTCAACTAGCACTATATAAGCCCTAGGCCTCATTTGTATTGACAGAGATTGTAGTCATCTCCATTATATTATTCTGCGCTATACTACGGAGTAATTTATAACAATGAGCATGTCGAGCGGTTATAGTAGGAATGCCTTGACACGAGTTCATTGCTAGTGTTCTTTTTACATTCTATGCTACGAGCCCCAAACATTACACTGATATAAAAAGATCTGAATGATTTATGTTTTTTATAATTACAATCCAGTTAAAGTTAAACTATGTAATAAAACTACCGAACAAAAAATCAATGTTATACATAATGACAGTTTTATATGATGTTGATTTAAAAATGTTGCGTAACATTTCAGCCTAAGCGCGCCTGCGAAATACTCTGTACCAGATGTTCTTCTTCGCGAACTTCGTCAGGGCGTGTACGAAACACGTGGGGGCAGTTCGGAAGTGTTGGAACCGACGGTTACCAGTTAGGGAATCTGCCGCGTACAAATTGGTACCATGTAGGGATAATTGGTACCATGCTGGGACGAAGGCGATCTGATGGTTACCGTGAAGCCACGTAGGTGACTGCTGACGTCATCACCTCGGATGTTGGTTACCCGGGAGATAAATACCCGAGCAAGTTGAAGGCAAACAGTAAGATCTTCAGAAGTTTGGACGATAAGCGAAGGTTGGACCAGAAATTTGGTTTCTCAATCTGTGCACCTATTTATCCTGAATACAACAGGCCCCAAGTTTGTTTTCCCAGTTTACAATTTGCTGAGGCTCAGGTCTCCACCTAAACGTGCACTGTAACAGTGTGTTTCAGCAAGAAATTGGGTGAGTATTCGAGACTCTCTAAATTGCTTCGGTTTGGGGACTGTACAATTATTCGACCTTTAATAACACGAGTATACCCTCTATTTAGACTGTCATCCCGAGAAAAAGGAAGAGTTCCTCCCTTGTCCAAACTTTGGTTGTCGTCCAAAATTCTGAAGGCGACCTAAGTGCCCTAGGTTTCTCATTGTTTTTCTGTAGGGGAATTATAGAATAGGTTACTGTTTTGGCCCAGTTAACACTCTTTGTTACTCCGCTCCCGCGTACGAGCACTTTTCCCACAGGTAACCCGCAGCGCGTCACTCCGGTAACATGAGAGGTCACTCCTTCACTCCATATTTAACACGAGAGGTCACTCCGTGAAACCCCCGTCTAACATGACCCGTTCACACCAATTTCCCGTGAGCAAAATTTGTTCTGTTACGACCTTACTTCCAGGCCGAATCCGATGAGGTCTGTTTGCAGGTTGCACGCCACTAGGCTGGTGATCCATTAAATGTGTGCAATCAATCCGTGCCACAGCAATGATGATTTTGCTTTGTCAAAATGCACAAAAACAGACACAAGAATGTACACATGCAATGCATAAATACCAAAGACTTTTGGACGTATAACCGAGTTTTCTTAAGAGGTAGCTGCCTCAAAGGGATATAATAAAAGGGCATATAAAAAAACCCATATTACCATTGTTATATTATTCAGCAAATACCACCACTATGCCAAACCAATCCAATCCCATAAATGGGCAACATTGCAGCAGAAAAATACAAAAAGGGTTTATGAAAAATCTTATAGAGAAGCAAGAGCTTAGAAACACGTAGAAGCAGGCTTGTGGTATTTGAAATTTGTATTAGCCTAATTATAGCTCTTGGTTTCGTGAATCTTGTTTCCCCTGTTTTTTTTTTTCTGTTACTAGATCATGCAGCCCGGCCTCACGAAACTGTTCTCGCAAAACAACTATTTTTTAACAGTCGCATGCAACCCACAAACATATGTCATCGGACTCAGCCTCGCGGTAGATCGTAACAGTACAAATTGCGCGCGCGGGAAATTGGTGTGAACGGGTCGTGTTCGGGCGGGGATTTCACGGAGTGACCTCTCGTGTTAAATCTGGGGTGAGGGAGTGACCACTCGTGTTACGGGAGTGACTGGCTGCGGGTTTGGTGTGGAGAAAGCGTGTAAGGAATTTTATTCCTTACCGGGTTGTACTGCAATCGCGTACACCCGAACTCTCGGCAGACCAGGCTCGGTCCGTTTCTGACGCGGCCCCGAGGCACGCCCGCGCCGCCTCCGACCCTTTCGACCGCGCCTGTACCCAACCTAGCCCTCCGGGCTCGTCGCCTAGCTAGAGCACTAGCTATATAATGCTAGGCTATCCTTCTTGTACTCGTCATTATTATTCCGCGCACTCTCAGTTATTATTCATAACATCTGATATCAGAGCTACTTTCCTGGTTCACCCCGCTTTCTCAGGGTAGTTTATTTCCAAGGCGTGGTTAACCCTGCGGGGCTGCAAAGCGGTTGTCCGTGAGCTAGAGTTATTAGCTCACACAACTACGATAGCGTTTGCGCCCCCTACGGTTTCTTACCACGGCCTTCCCCCTGCACGAAAGGCGTAGCATTCGCATCATGTCCCAGGCCCAGCTAGACGAGGTCATGGCTCAGATGCAGGCAATGCAAGCCCAGATGGCGAGTTTGGACAGTGAAGTCGTGAGACTTCGGACGGAGAACACCGAGCTTCGCTAGACGCGTGGTGAAGCGTGTCAGGAGTCGCCTGGAGTCGCCGAAGACGAGGTCAAGCAAAGTGCCGACGACGCAGCGAGCGAAACCGTCCTTGACGAGCTCGCACGGGAGTTGGAGCAGGACGACATGCGTACTGTGACCGTAACGAAGATTAAACTCAAGCCAGCAAGGGTGGCGGTGCAAGGCGACGACGGTGCAAGGGTGGCTGTTCAGCATGGAGCTGTTCTTCACGGCGGCAAGTGTGCACACCGATGATGCGCGCATTAATTATGCCGTGTCGCTGCTCCGAGGACCGGCGTTGGATTGGTGGCGATGACAGTTGGCGATTGGGACTCCGGCAGGAGTGAAGCAGGCGAAGGACGGGACTTCGGACTCTTCAAACCAACAGGGTAGAAACAATATTCGGTACGACCACGATTCGCACGTGGAAACAGTGGGGCACAGCTCTGCGAGCTCGTTTTGAGCATTCATCCGCCTCAGACGACGCTCGTATGAAGCTGCGCAACTGGCGGCAGGTGACTACTGTTCAAGATTACACTGCGTCGTTCTCGGCACTTGCGGACCAAGTCGACGACCTCAGCGAAGCGGAAAGACGGGACAAATACGTTAGCGGGCTGCATTTCGATATTCAATACGAGTTGCAGCGGTCCCGTCCCAAGACGTTCGATGAAGCCGTCCAGCTGGCGTCAGCAGCCGATGCACTGCAGCAGTGGGCGAGAAAGAACAACAGGGATGTTGGTCGTTTTCGTGGACAGTCTCCCCGCCCCACGATCAATGGCGTGTCAGCGCCCGATGAAATATTTCACGGGCTATGTTTTCGATGTGACAAGCCAGGTCACCGAGCTAAGTACTGCCCGACGGCGCCCAAGAAGACGAAGAACGACAAGGAGAAGCCGGGAAATGGGAAAAGTCAGTAGCAGACGGGCCCCCTACTGACGAGGCTTTGTCGCCCGAACTTCAACGTTCCCACCAAGTTGTGGTACCGATACACGCTATCGACCGCACTTGGACGAATAACGGGAGCGAACCTGAAGATCACCCTGTGCTGGTAGAAGGCAAGGTTAACGGCAAAAAAATAAAGTTATTTGTGGATGGCGGAGCTAGTCACAGTCTCATACACGTGACAACAGTGAAGCAGTTGAAGCTGACGTTGGAAAAATGTCTTCCCGAAATCGACGCGCGACTGGTGGACGAAACTCCACTTGCAATTAGAGAACGAGCGCGCATGGTGCGGATGAAGTGTGGCGACGACTTCGGATTCAGCATGCCCATGCTGGCCACGACGCTGGACGGCTGCGACATTCTGCTTGGGCGTGATTGGCTGCGAAAATACAATCCGAGGATCGACAGGACAACTGGCGAATGCAGCGTACACTGTGCGAACGGGTGGCGCGTACTTCCAAGCTGGCGTGGGAGAGATCCGGTGTCGACACGTGTCAACGCCATCACCCTCCAGCGAGCGGTTAAAAAAGGAGCTGAGTTGTACGCCGTCCACCTGGCCGACGCGACGGTCGACGACACGCCAAAGGACATTGACACACTTTGTGCCAGTGTCCCTGCCGAGCTCGCCGCGCTGATTCGACAGTACCCGGATATTTTTCCGGACGATCTGCCAGCAGGACTGCCACCCGAGCGCCCCCGGGACCACAAAATTGACCTGGAACCCGGCGCGCAGCCTACAGTCAAGACCCAGTGGTGGCTGACTCAGCCGGAGCTCACGGAGTTGCGAAGCCAACTGGACTACCTCTTGGAGAAGGGGTTCATTCGGCCCAGCACCTCCCCGTTCGCAGCACCCATCCTGTTCACGCCCAAAAAAGACGGCGGGCTGCGAATGTGCATCTACTACAGGGCGCTAAATCGACGAACAATCAAGTCCCGCTACCCAATCCCACGCGCGGACGATCTTCTCGATCAACTTCGCGGAGCTCGCTTCTTCTCGAAAATCGACTTACGCGGCGGTTACCATCAAATCCGAGTCTTCGCTGACGACTGCCACAAGACGGCGTTCCGAACCCGCTATGGCAGCTACGAGTACACAGTGATGCCGTTTGGCCTCACGAACGCGCCCTCCACTTTCCAACTCACCATGAACGGAGTATTCCGAGACCTGCTCGACAAGTGTGTCATCGTCTATCTTGATGACATTCTGATCTACAGCAAGACACAGGAACAGCACCTCAAGGACCTTGAGCAAGTTTTCCGGCGGCTGCAAGAAAACCGGCTCATCACGAAGGGCTCCAAGTGCGAGTTCCTAAAATCCGAACTGGAATTTTTGGGACATGTCGTGGGAGCGGACGGCATAAAAATCGACCCGAAAAAAATCACAGCGATTCGCGACTGGAAGCCGCCGACGAATTTACAGGAGCTGCAGAGTTTTCTCGGGTTCGTTAATTATGTCCGGAGGTTTATCCCCAATATGGCAGGGATAACCGGACCGTTAACTGACCTGCTGCGGAAGGGCACTTTGTTTGAATGGGGGGAGAGACAGCAGACTGCTTTCGATGAACTACGAAATTCTCTGACGTCGCCCCCGGTCCTCCGAATCGCCGACCCATCTCGACCGTTCGAAGTCTTGACGGACGCTAGCGATTTCGCCATCGGTGCGATAATGTTACAAGATTTCGGCGACGGACTCCAACCCATCGCGTATGAGTCTAGGAAGTTGCAGGCAGCCGAGCGCAACTACCCCGTCCACGACAAAGAAATGCCCGCCATCGTGCACGCATTCAAGGTGTGGCGATGCTACTTGACGGGAGCCGACGTGACAGTACGGACAGACCATAAATCCCTACAGTACCTCCGCGCGCAGCCGAATCTAAATCCACGGCAGATTCGCTGGCTGGACTTCCTCGAAAGCAACTTCCACTACACCATCACGTACAAACGGGGAACGAATAACATCGCTGACGCGCTGACAAGACCATCCGCCCACCTCGCCTCAATCATCGTCGCAAAATCCAACCCGCTGCTCACTGGCCTATTTACCCACAGCTATACCACAGACCCCTTTTTCGCCCGCAACCACCACCAACAAGCCACCACAGCCAAAGGACCCTACTTCCTAAAGGTCGGTACTGACCGTATCTGGGTTCCCGCCTACAGACTCCTCCGCGAATTACTTATTCAAGAAGTCCACGATTCTAACCTCTCCGGTTATTTTGGGGTTGATAAAACCCAGAAGTTACTTCACCGTTTTTATTATTGGCCTGATTCGGCGTCTGATGTGCAGAGATACGTATCCGCGTGCCTGATCTGCCAACGAATCCCGACGGCGGCCAGCTGGACTGCTGCAACCGCTCGAGCCACCCCAGCGACCGTGGCAACATGTGACGATGGACTTCGTCACGGGGCTCCCAGCCGCCGCCACGGGCAACGACGCCGTCCTGGTCGTCGTCGATCGTCTCACGAAGATGGCACACTTCGCACCCTGTCGCACAACAATCACAGCCGAAGATACAGCGAAGCTTTTCATCTCCACCGTTGTTCGTCTGCACGGCATACCATCAGCGATCATCAGCGACCGCGACCCAAAATTCACGTCCAAGTTCTGGCAGGAGACATGGGGGCAGTACGGCACACGCCTCCAGTTTTCCTCCGCCTACCATCCTCAAACCGACGGACAGACAGAGCGAACCAATCAAACTATGGAGCAGCTGATACGCACTAAATGCCCGGATCTTGCCCGGTGGGAAGAATTCCTGCCCATGCTGGAATTTTCGTACAACAATGCCCCATCCGCCACGACTAATCACTCGCCGTTTTTTCTAAACTACGGCATGGATCCGACAGTCCCGACGACTACCAACATCGACAACCCAGTGCCACGTTCCCAGCAGTTCGTGAACAGTTTGCAGGAGGCCCGCGAAAAAGCGATCGAATTCATTCGCAAGTCCAATACAACCGCCCGCCGCTACACAGATCTTCATCGCTGCGATATCACCATGGCTGCAGGGCAACTAGTCCTTCTCGACACAAAGAACCTTTGCCTGCCCCTGCCTTCAAAACTTCGTCCGCGATTCTGTGGACCTTTTCGTATTGTCAAGATGGTGACACCTGTCACAGCGAAATTATTACTTCCGGACGAGTGGCGCATTCACGACGCGTTCCACGTCAGCCTGCTTCGTCCCTACGTCGCCAGCACGTCTGCAGTCGCACGCCCAGCGGCCGCCCCAAGTGTCCGCCCGATGGCTGAACCGACACTTCAGCCTTTCCGGGGTTTGAGTCATCGCGTCCGCCTCAACTCCACTGGTCGCCACGTGGATTTTCTTGTCTGCTGGGTTGACCGTACAAGCGAAGACGACACCTGGGTCCCTTCCGACTCGCTTCAAGAACACTCGGTGCTCAAATCTTATTTGACCCGAAAAGGCGTTCCCGATGTTGATCACCTTCCTTAGGGGGGGGGGGGTAGTGTAAGGAATTTTATTCATTACCGGGTTGTACTGCAATCGCGTACACCCGAACTCTCGGCAGACCAGGCTCGGTCCGTTTCTGATGCGGCCCCGAGGCACGCCTGCGCCGCCTCCGACCCTTTCGACCGCGCCTGTACCCAACCTAGCCCTCCGGGCTCGTCGCCTAGCTAGAGCACTCGCTATATAATGCTAGGCTATCCTTCTTGTACTCGTCATTATTATTCCGCGCACTCTCAGTTATTATTCATAACAAAGCGGGAGCGGAGTGACCAGTGGTGGCCGATACAGTTACCACATCTATAATTTCCGTTTTCTCTCTTCCGCCATGGCAGTTATGTTTCGAAAGCTCCACACCAGGCCTCTCGATATCCTAGGGGTCACCCAGCAGTTTTCGAGTTTGCCCGGGATCCAAATCGTCCAGGCTGGGTAGCCCTAAAAGTTTGACTGTTTTTGCAGGCAAGAGTTTCGTCAAGCTCGGAATTAGCCACACCTGACAATGACAATGACAATTAACTAGGGGCACGAACGTTTACATTAGATTTTACAGGGCGGGTCTATCCCGTACTTGGAAATTGGCCGTGGGATAATTCTGGCTTGCCTGTCCATGGACGGGTATCGATATTCTGAATGCGTCAAAAGCAGGGCTATGTTAAAACATTACCCTGTTTTCCTTCACGAATCAGTGTAGTTACCCTAGCTTCCAGAGGCCTGCTCCACACACCACATATCTATGGCTTCTCGCTGGAATGGTCCAGCTACAGTTTTAGCAGCATGCTTCTCTTTCACCCTGCTCAAACCAACTCAACCCAATCCAACCTGATCCCACCCCATCTTATTCCAAGCCACTCCAACCCACCCCAAATCACCTAATCCTCTCCAACCAAACCCGCCTCACATGGTAACGATGTACCGCAAGCAACAGTGCTCTTTCCACACGCTCATTCCAGCGTGACTTGACCAAAAAAAAGAAAAGAAAAAAGACCAAATCCCGTGCGATCAACGCGTGAGGAGAGGAGAGCCTGAGGAGGAGGATGGCTGAAAGCCTGAGGATGACTGAGAGTCAGAGGATGCCTGCCTACCCTCGTGGTGGGATCTTTACGAGCCTCAGAAATTGGCTCAAATCACGTGCCTTGCTTCCTGGTGGGTCAGAAGCGACACGATTGGCGATAACCCTGTTGGCCAGGATTGGCAAGCACGCCGCCTGGGGTCGGATCGAGTCGTCGTCGGCGTTCCTACTAGGTTGGAAACGTCTTCGATGGGGTGCATTGTTGTTACTAGTATTCAGTCGAATCGAATAACGCCCTGTTGTTCTTATTGGAGCAGCAATACCATCCCCATCGCCATCGCCATCGCCATTGCTATCGTCGTCGCCATCGTTATAATCGTCGCCATGGTCGACACTGCAGAGCGTCGCATCATCGCATCGTCGCATCGTTGCAGCGTCGCAGCATCGCAAAGTCGCCGTCCCAATCGCACAGCTTCTTCTTCTCACGAGACACCCGACTCAACTTAATCTCCACCACCATCATCAGCAGCAGCAAGATCATTTGGTGCAGCCGCGGGGGCGTTTGAATCCTGTCATGAGTTTGGAGTTGTCTGAACAAGATCAGTCGGCTTTGAGACGTCTCTAGACAAAGAACAGCCGCCGGCTTCAAACAACTAGGTCTTCATCGTTAGCATCGTCGTCAGAATCGTCAGCATCGTCATCGGCATGGTCATCCGCATCGTCAGCATCCTATGATGGCGCGCCGGGGCTTTTGACTCCTCTGAGTTTGAAGTTGTCTGAAATACGAGATCCGGTTTCAAGCTGAACCTCAAGTCGTTATCGTTATCGTTATCGTCATCGTCATCATGGTGCGGGGTGTGTCCCGTGCGGCCTCTACAGCGGCCTCGGGGCGGCAAGCCACCGTCGCGGCATCATGCATCAGCATCCTTCCGCTAATCCGCGCCGGCCACGTGTCCTCCGTCTGGCACGACATCCTCCTCATTCCCCCACCCCACGTTCCGCCGACTTCCCATTCCCCCGCCGACTCCCTCTCCGCGCGCCGGCACCATCGCCGCTCGGCGGAAGGCCGCCATCCGCAGCCTCCGCCAGCCGCGCTCCCCTCCTCCGCCTTCACGTTTGTCTGCCGCTCCGCCAAGTCCCGCTCCGCCCCCCGTTCCGCCGATTCCCGCTCCGCCTTCTGTTCCGCCGAGTCCTCCTCCGCCGAGCGCGGCGGGAGGCGGCGGAAGGACGATGATCTTCTCCGGGAGACGTTCCGCGAGTCGCGGAAGATTTTAGCGCTGGACGGCAGTCTTAAAGTGCAGGCCGACGCGCCGCCAGATACTTCATCAGAACCGAACTCCGAGTCTAACTCCGAGTCGCTTCTCCCAGCGCCGTGGAACGTGGGTATTTTGCCGCAGACGTGCGTCCTCGCGCCGCGATCCATGTCGATGTTCTTCCGCTGGGGTGTTGATGGGGACCCTGCTGACTCAGCGAGAGATCGCCATGATACCAGCTGTGATGCCGGTGATGATGATTTGGAGGAGGGCAAAGAATCTGTTAAGGAGTTGAAGGATTCGTTATTAACGGCGTGCGATAACTCGCCGCTTGAAGCGCTAGAGATTGGGTCGCATGTGCGGGAGCCTGGCGACGTGTACGACGTTTTGCCGCTGCTGGCGATGCCTCTGCGACTGCAGGGGGCGGGGCGAAACAGCATGCCGATTTCGTGGAGGATTGTAACCATCGCGGCGGACGACGAGCTGGTGACGAGCGGGCAGCTGAAGCATTTGGGCGCGAAATTGTTGGATCTAGTGCGCGATTGGGCAAAGAAGGCAGAGTTTTATGGCGAAATCACTGGACCAGGTATGCACTGTTCCGGTTACCATGTTACCAGCCATCACATTTTCCCCAGCCAATGCCAGGCGGTCCCATTCTGTCATAATCACACCACACATCTCAACACCCGCATTTTCCCAACTAATTATCTCAATCAGGAATAGAGACTCCCTATGACAGCCTTTTCAAGAATGAGATGTATCGATCAGGAATCGAACCCATAACCTTGAACGAGAGGCGGTTGCCTTTGCAGACCTAATAGCAGTAAGAAATGCCTCGACCCCCTTCCCCGCCCTCCCCCTTGCCCCTCCTCTCCGCCTCTCTTCAGGTCGGTCTGTTCACCCCTATGACAGCCTTTTCCCCTCTCCCTCACTTATGAGCCTACCCAAAAGTCAACCCCCTTTATCCCTCCCCCCTCCTTCTCTCCCCCCCTCCTTCTCCCCCTGCCCCTCCTCTTCACGTTTCCTCAGGTCGGTCTTTTCACCCCTATGACAGCCTTTTTTCCTCTCCCTCACTTATGAGCTTACCCGAAAGTCCCTTCCCCCCCTTTCCCTCCCCGCCCTTCCCTTACCCCCTCCGTCTCCCCCTCCTTCTCCCCCTCCTTCTCCCCCTCCTTCTCCCGCTCCGTCTCCCCCTCCTTCTCCCCCTCCTTCTCCCCCTCCTTCTCCCGCTCCGTCTCCCCCTCCTTCTCCCCCTCCTTCTCCCCCTCCTTCTCCCGCTCCGTCTCCCCCTCCTTCTCCCCCTCCTTCTCCCCCTCCTTCTCCCCCTCCTTCTCCCCCTCCTTCTCCCCCTCCTTCTCCCCCTCCTTCTCCCCCGTGCCCCTCCTCTTCACGTCTCCTCAGGTCGGCCTGTCCTCTCCAGCAACATGTTTTCCTCGCCTTCATTAGGGGAGGGAGGAGAGATAGTCGTATTGTGAGTCGACTCAAAATACACCCCCCTTCCTTTCTCCCCCGTTCCCCAGCTCTTCACCTCTCCTCAGGTCGTTCGGTCCACTCCAACAACATGTTTTCCTCTCCGTCAGAAGGCGAGGTTGGAGAGATAGACGTATTTTGAGACAACTCAAAATACACCCCCCCTCCTTTCTCCCCCGTGCCCCTCATCTTCGCTACTCCTCAGGTCGGTCTCTCCAATCCAACAACATGTTTGCCTCTCCTTCAGTGGCCGAGGGAGAGATAGAGCCCACGAAAACGTTGGACGGAGAGCGGGATTCCAGGGGGGGTCGGGGGAAGGAGGAAGGGGAGAAGCAAACCGAGAAGCAGACGATCTGGTACGCTAATAGCACGTGGAGGGACGGCGAGGAGGAGGAGGAGGAGCGGGAGGAAGCAGCAAAGCGAGCAGCGGAGCAGGCGGCGAGGAAAGCGGCGGAGGAGGCGGAGCGGACCATTCGGTACGCGCACAGCACGTGGAAGATCCTCTGCCACACGCTGCGCCGGCCCGTGCTGCGCCGCCTAGCGGGGCACGACAAGCACCTGGACGCGCCCTTCAGCAGTGGGCAGAGGAGGGGGCAGGTGACTTCATTGGAGGGTGAAGACAGCGAGACACGAGAGCAGGAGGAGTGGGAGAATGAGCAGGAGCAGGAGGAGGAGGAGGAGCAGAAGGAGGAGGAGGAGGTGGAGGAAGAGGAGGAAGAGGAGGAGAAACAGGAGGAGAAGCAGGAGCGGGGGAAAAGAGGCGCTGGGCGCAAGGGCCTGCCTGCCGCTCGTCTCTCTTTCTCCGCCAATCCTTTGAGCCCCTCAGCGCTGCGCATCCTGCCCCGGAGACCGTCCAGTGCTCTCCCCCCTTCCCAGTCGGCTCGAGAGGACGTGCACGAGCTGACCCCTAGGCGGTCTCCTTGTGAGTCAACTCAGAAACAGTGGGCGGGGCTAGAGCCCAGAGACCAGGCGCTAGAGGTGAGTGAGAAGGGCGTGCAGCTGACGCCAAGGCAGTCGCAACGGGCAGCAGGCAGCCGACTCCAAGGTGCTCCAAGGAGGAGAAGTTGTGAATGGTCGCGAGAGGTGGAGCGAGAGCAAGAGCGGAGTGAGAAGCGCGAGCATCTGACACCAAGGCAGGCTTTCGAGGCCGCTAGAAAGCAGTGGGCTCGAGACCAGACGCTAGAGGCCAGTGAGAAGGGCGAGCAGCTGACCCCAAGGCAGTCGCAAAGTCAGCGCCGAAAGGAGCCCCAGAAGCAGCACCGGAAGCTCCACCATCCGTCGATGCGGATCCATCCAACGAAATCGACGGCTGATCTCTCTCCTGCCGCCAATTCTCTAGATCTCGCCACCACCAGATCCATCGATTTTGCCGCCACCAAATCTCTGGATCTCTCCACCAGATCTTTGGACCTCGCCACCTCCAGCGCCTTTAGGCTCATCGCCCCTCCGGAGAGCTACGGCCTTCCGGGGCTGCTTTCCCCCAGGGTGGGAAGGGGCAGGGGAGGAGGGAGAGGAGGAGAGGGGGAGGCAGGTGCGTGGGGAAGGGAGGGCGTCGCGCATGGGCACCGGCACAGTTGCACGGACCTTTCCTCACTGGAGGAGAGACAGGAGTGGCTGCACAGTCCGAATTCCCCTGGTCTGGGGATTCTCTCTGCTGCGAGAGATGCGGTCGAGAATGCCAAGGACGTGGCTGACAAGGTGAAAGTTGCTGCTGCTAAGCGGA